GGGGAGTGGCGCTGAGACAGCGGCGAGTGCCTCTGGCCTGGAAGAGAAAGTAGGACGGGTGGTGTGGAGAGAAGACGTCAGAACTGGGGAGCCAGGGGCTTGCTGAGACCAACGACCCCCCTCTCCTCCAGGCCGGGGGGAAGGAAGTCGAGGGTGGTACCCGGGACGCAGGCTGGTTGCCATAGCTCCCCTCCCTCGCAGTCCAGCGCAGGCCTCCCCTGCCCTTCCCGCCCCAGCTCACCGCCACTCCGGGCCTGCTCCTGCAACAAAGTCCTCAAGATCCTCCCCTGCAGAGAACTCAACTCCCGAAGCCGGCCCAGCTCCTCTGTCAGCTCCGTGTAGGCCAGCGCCAAATTCACCCTGAGGTTAGAGAGCAGGGAGTGGAGGAGAAGAGAAGGGACTGGAGAAAGAACTGGCTCTGCCCTGCATCTGGCCCACTCCAGCCTCCTCTCCAGGGCCCTCCTATCCCAACTGCAGAAATCCTCTCTGCCTTTAAGGTCCACTTCGAATAAGACCTCTTCCAGAGAACCTCCTACTGCTCCCAGAGAACCATTGCTGCAGGCTGGGGCAGTGGTTCCCAGTCTACGGGCTGGGATGGGGAATAGAGGGATTCCAAGGGGTCCCTGAATCCCTGTGTGCACCAAGCATTGTCTGTGGCCCAAACACAGCTCATCCAGGTATGAGCAAATGTTTTTCTAATCTGTGCAGAAGCTGTGATGAGGAATAAAATACAGATTCATCAAAAAGCTGTACTGAATTTTTAGTAGCTTTTGTCACCAAGAATTTTCTCAGAGCATATATTAAAACTATAAACACAAGCCATGTGCTAGGTAGGGGGAGGGGTCCCCCCTGAAGATCCCATTCCACAAGTGCAGACAGGCCTCCTGGCTTGCAGAGGTGCCAAGTGATAAACTTGACCCCAAGTCACCTGATTCCAGGTCAACTCCTGCCACAACCTCAAAGCTGCCTCTAGGCTCTTTTTAGCCTTGCACCTCCCAAGACCTCCCTGCTGTGCAACACCACTGGGTCCTTTACACGGAGATTTGTGAGCAGCTGCTGTGCACTACACACCTGCCGGGGGCACCACCCACGCTGAGCACTTCTCACAGGCTGCCTTCTCCTGGAACTTTACTGGCACTTCCTTGATGGTAAGGATTACATCATAACGTTTATATTCCCAGCACCTTGTCCAGGGCCTGGTACCCAGTAGATGATCAGTTAAGTGAATAATGAACTGTGCCTCTCCATCCATTTTCCTTTCTTCTTCCTTTCCTTCCTCCCTGCTTCCTGCTCAGACTTCCTGGGCATCCACCCTCATAGAGCTGGAACAGACTCTGAGTTTTGCTAAGGACCTCAGCCACTTACTTGTCTCTTCCTTTCTCTCTGGGGCACTTTGAACCCAGAGCCATGGAAGATTGTCCCTCCAGCACTGCACCCCACTTTCTCCCACTGTGGCCTCCATACCCCCAGAGAGCCCTTCCTGACCTCACAGGAAGCTCTGCCACAGCCCTAGGTCCTGCCTTCATCCCTGTTCTAGGCTTAGACAGAAACTGGGACCTCCCTGAAAGCAGGGATTTTGGTTTCTTTGGCTTTCTCCACCTCCCCAAATCCAGAAGGGAGTCCAGAACTTTGTGGAAGTCTGAGCTGGAGGAAAGTGGCAGAGGCTGAGCCACTCCAGATGGGTCTCCTCCCAGGGGAGGCCCTTTTGCCCCAGGACAGATAGGTCAGGGAGGGGGTTGAAGTGTTCTCTGGAAGAGGAGAGGGAGTGGGAGGGAGGAGGGTGGATGGGGAAGGGGGAAGAGGGCCATGGAAGACTGTCCCTCCAGCACTGCCCCTCCACTTTCTCCTGCTGTGGCCTGCACACTCATCCCGTGGTGATGGACATGTGACAGAGGATGTGTGTGGATGGGAGGGGTGCAGGCAGGTGTGAGGCCAGGCTGATGAGTCTGAGGAAAGGTGTGAGAGCACGCGTGTGTGTGCGTGTGTGTGCATGCGTGTGCGCGCGCGCGTCTGACGCCTGAACGAGTGGAGGGGGAGTCATGAGGTTAGGGGTTCATAGGGCAGGCAAAGCCGTGGTGGAGAGGGCAGATGGCGATGAGCTCCCCTGCTCTTGCTCACTGGCTGGCTCTCTCACTAATCCTGGGGTAGAGCTGGGGGGCCAGGGGAGAAATGGCCCTCCCACCAGAAAAACTATTTTTAACACATTTGGGCCAAAGCCAAATTATTGCAAATGGGCCAGGACTCTGAGGGACAAGCCCTCTTCTTAGTGAGGAAGAAGTCCTCACTCCCTGTCTCATGGTGGACAGGACTGGGCAAGCCAAGAGGCAGGAGTCCTTCTAGGGACCCGTGCCCAGGTCCTGCGGCCCTCAATCCCATTACATCTCGGCCCTCACATTTGCTAAGTGTGTCCTGTGCTCCCCCCCCCTCATCTCATGGGTCTGTGGGAAGAAATGGCGTCTCCCCCACCAGACTGGGAGGCCCAGGTGTGTCCCACGTCAAATTAGGGACTCCCCAAGGGAAGGATCCCCCTTCAGACCGAGGGCAATCTGAGGTCAGGAGCTAGGTGTCCCCATCAAACTGGGGACTTCCTGAGGGCAGGATCATGCTATCCCCTCAGCAATGGGGTCTGGAGGGGGCTCTGGGCAGTCGAGGGCAATCTGAGGTCAGGAGCTAGGTGTCCCCATCAAACTGGGGGCTTCCTGAGGGCAGGATCATGCTATCCCCTCAGCAATGGGGTCTGGAGGGGGCTCTGGGCAGGGCACTGATGGAATGTTTTCTGTACATGAAGCTGCAGTCTCTCTCCCCATCCACCTTCACGGCTGTATCTCAGGTGACAGATACAGGCCGTCGCCTTCACACTCCGCCTCAGAGGTCTCACCTGCCACACTCAGTTCCCAGGCCCCTCTCGCTTTCCTGCTTGCCTCCCACTGTCAGGAGCTACCCCCATTTCCACCGCGCAGCGCCTGCACCCTCCTCACAGTAAAACAGACAGGGCAGCAGGAAATGGATGAAAGAAGCCCCTAGCCCAGAATGCCCAGCCCCTCTCCCAGCTCTGATACCGGGTGCCAGGGGCAGGCAGCTACTGTCCTAGAGCCCCAGGCAATTCTCACAGAGACCTCTGAGACCCTGGGCAAGGGGATGGCACCTGACCTCCTCCTGATGCCCACAGTTCTTTAGGACCTCCCCCCTCCATCGGGTACCTCCCCACCTCAAGATGCACAGGCCCTGGCTGCTGAATACGACCTGAATGACTCACTGAAAACACTGCCAATTCAGTGGAAAAAAAAATCTCAACTTCACAACACAACCAAGAGTCACACACGTGCACCTAAATACACACTCCATTTCCTGGGTTCCCAGCCCACACCTGAGCAATTGTCCTGCCCTCATGACTGTTTGGGAAGGATGGGTCAGGTGAACTGCAGCAGACGGCTGCATCTGGGTGCTTCTTTATTGCTTAAATTACAGCCGAAAGTCTGAGTCTTTAGGAACCTGGGAGAGACTCGGGGTGAAAAGAATCATAGATAATGTGCATGAACGCTTATCATGCGCCAGGCACTGTGCAAAGAACTTTATTAATAATCTTCACAACAACCCTACGACGTTGCCAATATTATTATCTCCATTTTACAGATTAGGAAACTGAGGCTTATGACCAAAGTCATAAAGTCTAGTAGCAGTGGAGTTGCTGGGATGGGAGCCCCAGCCCGCTGGATGCTACTGACCACTATGCGTACCACCTGCCAAAGAATCAAGAAACGGGAGAGAGGAAAAACAAGGCGGTAGCGGAAGGGAAAGAGTAGGAGAGGGTGGAAGAGGAGGAGAGGGAAGAGGAGGATTCCACTGGGGAAATTGGAAGTAGCCTGCGAGTCCTGAGAATCACTGCCCCTGCCCTGGGAGGGGAGAGGAAGGTGCTAGACAGATGTGGAAGTGCAAGATCAGAGTGATTAAGAGGCTAGCTCAAGGTCACTAAGTGATGTGGCACAGAGCAGAGATTCAAAAACGCTCTTGGCACCTCAGCCTGCTGAGCTGGCACCTTCTGAGGAGCAAATGGCAGGGCTGGCAGGAAGGAGGCACCCTCGACTACAAATCATTCTACCCTTCATTGACTTATCCTTTCATTCATTCTTTCCACGAATAATTCAGGGATCTCAAAAATTCTTCTGGAAACAATCATCTTCACCGTTATTGATAAAGCAAATGACATCAGGAAGGTGAGAGACCTAAGTGTTCTCCTCTGTAAAAGGCCTCTTTCTGCCCCAAGCCAGCTGTGAGACGCACGGGCTTCCATGTGCCCCATGCTGCACTGCAGCCACCGTGAAACCAGAGTTCGGGATAGCGCTGGGCTGTGGGATTAGAACTAGGGATGGAGGGCCGGCCCGGTCCGATTGGGAGCGCAGCGGTGCTCCCGCTGAGGGTTCGGATCCCATGTGGAGACCGGTTCCCGCTCACTGGCTGAGCGCGGTGCGGGCGCGACACCGAGGGTTGCGATCCCGTTACCAGTCAGTAAAAAAGAAAAAAAAGGAAAAAAAAAAAAAAGAACTAGGGATGGGCTTGAGGTCAGGATTATAGTTGCGGTCAGGGTCAGACCAAGGATGGAGTTGACAGGTGTAAGTGGCCTTGACTGTGGTCAAAGTCGGGGTCAGAATTAATGATAGGGTTAGAGTCAGGGATGGGATCAGTATTAGGATTAGGATTGGGGTCAGGATTAGAGCAGGTCATATGGTCAGAATCATTGGCTGTCTGATTCAGAACTGGAAGGAAAATAGAAATCCAACATTTCCAGCCCTTCCATCTCTGCCCATAGCTACCCCCAGCTCCCAACCACATCCACCCTGTGGGGGAATTTAGGGACCAAACTTTCCACCACCCACAGGCACGCCCAGCGTAAGTCTTCCCGCCTGACCCCTGGGGAGGGGACCACAGGCACTGGGCCGTGGAGCGGACTTGAGGTTGCGGGCCAGTGGGGAGGAGGAAGTCGCTTTGCAAAAACCACCACTTCCTTTCAGGCGCCTTGAGCCCCTTCACTCTCCTCAACCAGCTATGACTTGCGGTCCCAGAGCCCGCTCTTCATGGCAGTCCTGCCACACTCCTAGCTCTGAGAACCAGATGTCTGCTGTGTCTAGAAAGCTTCCCCAGATGCTGCTGAACCAAGCCGCTCACAGCGAGGCTGGAAACCAGGGGCCCCACTTAGCACGGGTGCCCCTACATCCCAGTTGCCCAGGACTGTCCCAGTTCACACTAGTTACCCCAGCATAATTATTAATCGTGCCCCCTTTCACTTTCAACAATGATCCAGTTTGGTCAACAAATCACATAGTAGCCTCTCGTATAAGGGCCTCCTACCTGAAGTAGAAAACCCCCCCAGAGGTACCAGCACCCCCTGTACTCAGGACCTGTCTGGTATTTGCACTGAACTTATTGGGTTACTTAACTCCTCTGCACCTCAGTTTGCTCATCTATAAAAGGGGAACAATAGCCACATCACGCTGCTTGTGAAAATGAAATAAGATTTTGTGAAAATGAAATAAGATTTTGTAGGTAAATCACCTCACATAGTATCTGCCATGGACAAAGAATCGGGAGTGCCTGGAGACAGGTGAAGAAAGGGGGAAACCCGGGTTGAGACTCTTTTGGGAGACACTAGCTTAACGGCTTTAGTTTAGGAAGGAGGAGAAGACATGGAGTTTCCCATTGAGGGAGGGAGCAGGGACACCAGCTGCTCTCTGCCTGGCTGGCAGGAGTAGGGTCAAAGCCCACCAGTCACTCAGACCGACTTCAGAGCCCCTCCCCAGCCTCCAGGAGCCCCCAAGGCTGCAAGTGCTCAGGGGTTAACTCCTGTGAGCTCTGGGTGCCCTGGCTGAAGGAGACTTGAGAGAGAGGAAGTAGGGAGGGTGAGAAGCGTGAAGCAGGAGGCCCTGGGCCCGCTGGTTCTGGGGCATGAGGCTGAGCTCAGGGTACACGGGGGTCTCCGACTTCCGTCCTGACCCACCCCACACTGCCCTTGACCTCCGTGCAGAGTTTCCATCCTCTCTCTCCGAGTTCACACTTCTCCCCCACCACTAACCACAGCCCACGCAGAGGCTTGTGGGCGGAGAAGGGGGGGAGGAAAGGGCCCGGGCAACAACGCTGAGCCCCCCACGAAGGGAAAAAAGAAAGGCCTAGTGTTTTCCTCTCATCACCCATACTGAGTCCCCATCTTCTCTCCGGGTCCCCTCCTGGATGGACCCCTCATGGAAGAGCTCCCTTCTTCACTGGGCCCTTACCCCCTCAAGGAGGGCCCCCCATTTCCCCTCCCCCTTAGCATTGGCCACACCCTCCAATGTCTCTGAGCTGGGCCCAGAGGGGAGGCGACTGTTGGTTCTGCACCTCCCACCTTGGCTGGGACCCTCCTGGGTTCCTCACCTCCCTGTGCATCCTCACTTGCTCCCCCTCCCTCATCATTGCCTCTGGTCCCGGAGTGACCCCCAGGAGCTCTTCCTCTGGGCAATTTGTCCCCCTGGGCTCCAGCCACCAGGAGCTGGGCTAATGAAATGGCAGGGAACTCTTGTCTTGAGTTCAGACCTCGAGGGTGGAAGTCTGGTCTGGTCTGGTCTGGGTGCCCATTTTCAGACGAACATGGAAGGCCAGAGCTTGTGGGCCAGAGGCTGGGAGCAGAGGGGCTGGGAAACCTTGGAGCCAGGCTGCCTCCCAGGCCTGCCACCTTAGCTCGGATAGGATGGATAGGACGCAGGAGGGGGAATTAGTAGACGCAGGAACAGTGTGAGTGAGGGCGTTTTAACAGTAAGGACTCCTGCTATAAAACTGGCTGCCCTGGAGTGTCCAAACTGAGACGGGTGGGCACCTTTAGGGATATGGAAGATTCCCACAGTGGAGTAGGCTGGACTCAGGAATTGTGTGTCCCCCTCCCCAGCTTTCACATCCCCAGGTCCTCATCACCCCGATCACCCCTCCCACCTGGATAACCCAGCCCCAGCATTCCACTCATAGAAAGCTCACGTGTAAAATCCCTACTAGCCTGGAGGGCCAGGGGAAGTAGAAGGAAGAGGGGGGACTGGTGGAAGAGAGGGGGCAGAGAGCAGGTGACTGGGGCCTCCTCAGGTGGGAGGACAGGGGAAGGAGCACTCGGGAAGAGGCCTATTACCAAAAGGAGCTGAGTTTATAAGAAAATAAAACTACCGGGGGAGTGAGGACTTCCTCTGAGAATTAACTCTTGCCAAGCTGGGCTGTCCAGAGATGCTCGGCCTAAAAGGCAGCTGAGCTGGGCAGGCAGAGCCCGGCTGACTCCAGATGCAGAGATCTGGAAGCTTGAAGTGCTGCAGAGTTTGCAGCACAGGAAAGGAGAGGTGGAGCCCAGGGGGACCTCAGGTAAGACTGGCTCAGGCCACCCCTGGGCAGGGACCAGCTCCCTCTGGCCAAAGGGCCTGGGTGGGGCATGTGCCTTAGGGTGAGGAAGGAAGAGGCTGCTCCAGGCAGAATGAGCAGTGTGAATGGTACAACCCCCAAAGCACCTTACGGGATGGACTCTCTCTCACCCTCACACATGCACAGCCTTGGCCCCTGAGGATCTGCCATCCCTTCTCTGTGTACCCGCCTTCCTCACCTTCCTCTCACATCTCTCGGCAATGACTGACCCCTGAGCCCCTGAGGAAAACCTGCGGTCCAGAGAGGTGAAGTCAAAGTCATTAGAGCAAAGCCACTAGTGTCCCAGGAAAGGCCCCTAGGACTCAAAGCCTGGATGGTCAGACTCCAGCCATGCCAAAAAGCCCTCCCTCCAATTGGGGAAGGCTTCACTCCTGGTCTTACAACAGGGATTGGACTCAGAGACCCATAAGAAGCCCTTCAGCATGATTTCTGGGGCAAGCTTGGATCCGAGAGAGAGAGAGAGAGAGAGAGAGAGAGAGAGAGAGAGAGAGAGAGAGTGTGTGTGTGTGTGTGTGTGTGTGTGTGTGTGTGTGTGTGTGTGTGTGTGTTCGTTCCAGGTCTGGGCACATGGGCTAAGATGGGCCCTGAGCCCCAGCCACAGCTAGGGTGGACCCTCTCTGCAAAGGCCTCCCACACCCCCTCAGCAGTCTAGCTGAGGGGTCCCACCCATCAGTCCCACAAACTGAGTTCTCACCCCCCAGCTATCACAGCTCCACCCAGGCCTTCATCTCAGGGTGGGGAGGGAGGCGAGGGTACCCCATTTGGCCAGAGGCCAGGAGGAGGTGAGGGGGAAGCCTGCTGGGAGAGAGGACCCCTGGGGCCGAGAGCTGGGCAGGCTGTGTGAAGAAGGGTTAGTTCCTGCCCCTCTCTGAGCCTCAGTCTTCCCCTCCAATGAAAGAAGGGAGTCTGTGCCACACGCCTCGTCTCAGGAGAGAGGACTTAGGCGGAAGGAGGTTTGAGCTCTATTTCTCAGAAAGTGGGAGAGGGTGGTTCAAGTGCGGATGTGAGAGGCACCAGGCTCGGCTGCCGCCCGTGGCCACCCGCCCCTCCCTTGCTGCCCAGTGCTCCCCACCTATATAGCTCCCTTCCTCCTTCCTGCTGCCCCTCTTTCCTGGCAGGATTCCAAGGGGACACCAGCAGAGTATGTCCTAATTCCCCACACCACTGCTGTGTGAACCCAAGGAAGCCCCTCCTGCCTCCAGCCTTGGGCTTCCCTCTCCAGAGATAAGCAGACAAGGTACCACAAATCCTGAAACAGACCATCTCCTTCTTTCCTCGCTAGGGAGGGTAGTGAACCCAACCACTTGGCCTTGTCACTGGAATAGAAAATGGGGCCCCAGAGAGGCCCAAAACTCATCAGGGGACACACAACACAGTGGCAAAGCAGCTGAGCTAATCTTTCCCAGCCCCTGACACCTTGAGAAGAGATGGACCCCAAGGGAAAGCAAAGGGAACATCCCAGAATCTGAACACTCCAGAAACCCACCTCCTTCCTGTGAAGGATGCAGGGCAACAAGCAACCCAGAGCCCACACTCTTGCCAACTGGGAAGAGAGGTCGCCCAAACACCACAGAGGAATGAAAAGTGAACCTGTGGGGACCTGTGATACGCTCCCCCCAGGTTAAGAGGGCGAGGGTTACAGCCGTGACTTACTGATCATCCCCAACTCTTTTCACCCACGCCATGTCCCGCTCCGACTGGTTGGAGGCCAAATCCTAAGGGGGAAGATGGAGAGGTCAGAGCCCAACCTCACCTTGGCTGGAACCCCTTCTCTACCATCCCCAGGGCCAGTCTGTACTCAGTGAGGAAGGCCCAGTCTTGGACCTCTCAAGGCTGCTCCAGTACCCCCCTGCCATTTACCTGGGCCCGGGTCTCCTGCAGCTGCTTGAGCTCACCCTGTAGCCGCTCACACTCTGCCTGGAGCTGCTCCTCCCGGAGCTGAGCCCCCCGAGCTTCCCCCTGGGCAGCCTCCAGGGCTTCCTCCAGCCGCCGCCGCTCCAGCTCACTCACGCTGGGCGTGGGGCCTGGCCAGCCTGCTGTCAGGGGAGGGGACAACATCAGGCTGGGTTCAGCTGCCTTCACTGACTCCCAGATCCACACAAAGTGAAACAGGTGAGGACTACAGCATGAGGGACACAAGAGAAGCCAGAACGATAGACACCAAAGGGGGAAACTTAGCTCTACAGGGCAGTGAGGAAGGATGGGCTGAGCTGCTTTTTCTAATCTTCCTGGAGGCCAGGGGTAAAATAAGATGGCCTCTTGAAGGCTTCCCTGGCCTAGCCTAGAGCATCCTCAGGGGCTCTCCTAATCACAACCCAAGACAGGCGGGGACCCTGGGTGGGCGCGCCCTCTGCTGGCACACACACGAGAACTGCAATGGGGTAGCTGGCGACTGATCAGGAATGCCCGAGTTAGAAGCAGAAAAATTGGGATAATAGTGGAAGAGGGGAGAAAACAGTTGGTAAGCAGGGATGGGGTGGTTATGGGAGAAATTTAAGATATTATAATGGCGGCGACTGATCAGGAATGCCCGAGTTAGAAGCAGAAAAATTGGAATAGTGGAAGAGGCGAGAAAACAGTTGGTAAGCAGGGATGGGGTGGTTATGGGAGAAATTTAAGATATTATAATGGGGTGTTAATTAAGCTGGAGGTGTCCAGTGGTTTTGAAATGGGGGTCAGTCTTGGGGACTTGGGGGTAAAGAAGCAGGGGTGGCTGAGATCTCACCGTGACTTAAGCCAGACCCCCCTCTCAGTGCCAGGTAGTGCAGGTCCAGATCAGCACAGGGTGGGGCAGGGGCAGGTGGGGGACTCAGGCTGGGGAAGGCTGCATCACGGAGGCCTTGTTGCTGCCGCAGCTGCTGCTCCAAACCACAGATCTGCCGCAGGTGGGTTTCTACCAGGGCCCGCTGGAGGGGGAGACAGAGGGATGAGGGTCTATACAGGGTCAAGGAGCCCCTGTGGCCTCCCAGGGCTTCCCCATGTCTGGATAGTCATCACCCTCCAAACTAGAGCAGAGGCCCCAGATCACACATCCCAAGCCCACTCTCCAAATGGCCATGAGTGTGAGGTCTCCTCTCCCAGCAGCTGCAGTGCAGATGTTTCTGGCTGCGGCCCCTGGCAAGGTCAGAGCCTCTTCTCTATAATTAGTACACAGGGACACTTATAAGAACACTCAACCCCTGTCCCTACACCACCTTCCCCTCAGGAGCCTAACTTCTATCTGCATACATGACCTAACCACTCCTGGGCTTCATCTACTTCATTCATGACAAGGGGATAACAGTACCACACCTACCTCTTAGGGCTGTTATGAGAATTACAACGAGTAAATATAAGTACAGAGATAAGAACAGTGCCTGACACACAAGTGCCATGTAAGTGTTTTTACATGAATGTCCCTTCACAATAACTCAGCGAGGTTAGTATTTGCCCCACTTTGCAGAGGAGGAAGGGAGGCTAAGTAACTTGACCAAGGTCACAGCTAGGAGTCGACAGAGACCATGTGTCCTGATTCTGACACCTGCTCACCTGCTCACACTCATGGCCACACCCTGACTCCGAATCACACACAGGCCAAGACCCAGCCCAGCAGTCCCAAACAGTCCTGGTCACCTCTGCCCTCACCCACACAGCCTCCCAGGCACAGTGCTACAGGCACGGGGTCAACCCAGCAAGAAAGCCACACACTGAGACACAGTGTCCCATAGGGTCAGTGCATGGCCACGATGTACAGAGTCATTCACAACCTGGATGACACACTGTCTCACTTACAAGGCCAAAGGGGTACTACTCACAGATACACATGGACACAAGCAGGGTGCACACCACAGGCACACACACATGGGGTCGCACACAATCACAGGGTTGGAATGCACATACACACAACTTTACTCACACACACGATACCAGGTCCACACCCTCCAGCACCCCCAGCTCCCTGGGCCTCACCATCTCCCCCAGCTCTGTCTCCAAGTCGCTCTTCTCCACACAGAGCTTCTCATAAGCCTGGATCATCTCCCCAAGCTGTTCTTCCTGCTCCTTATTCTTCTGCAACTGGATGAGCAGGACCGTCTTTGACTTGGGGCTGAGGAGCTTCCCGCACCTCTCTCCCACCCCACACACTACAAGCACCCTGCAGAGGAGCAGGAGGACTTGCAGCTGGTATTAGGGAGGAGCATGATCAAAGGGGCAGAAAGTCGGAGGCTGGGATGGGGGTGGGGGTATCAGAAACAGATTGGAGCAAGAAGCTCAGGGAGCTGAGCCCGGGCTGAGAGGCCGGAGAGCTCACCTCATGCTGGAACTGGTTGAGCCGTTGCTGCAGACTGACCTTCTCCACCTCCAGCAGGGAGCCATCCTTGATCTCATACAGAGAGAAGCCGTGCTCCTCTCCAAAGTCATTGATCAGTGGGTACTGCAGGCAGGGTAGGGCCTCAGCCTTGCTGTGCCCCCAACTACACAGCCTGTCTCAGAGTCCTTGCCTCTCCCTCTCCAGTGGGGTCCCAATTCCCACCAACCTGTAAGCATCTCCCACCAACAGGATCTTTTTCAGATCCCAGAGCCAGCAGCTCCAAAGCCCATCCCAAGAGTCTTCACCCTGACCCCTCTTTTGGGTCTCTAGAGTCTCTGCCTGATCCCCAGTCCCACCACTCCACCCCACACCCCTCCCAACACACACACCACTAGACCCCTGCATCTCCAGGTTCTGACCTTGATCTCATAGACTTTGAGGCGGCGGCGGAGGGTAGCATTCTCCCTCTCCAGGCCCCCCAGCCGCTCCTTGATGTCTCCGTAGGCCGTGATGAGGGCAAAGTGAGAGGCGGAGCACATGTCTCCACCCAGCGAGGGGTCTCCAGGACCATCCAGCCACACCTCACTGGGTGCCAGGGCCTCCTGGGTCAGAATGCTGATGTCGTCCTCAAACATGGACTCCATTGTAAGGGCCTGGGCCACGGCCCACACTGGGCCTCCTGGGGGAGCAAGAGCAACAGTGGGGTGGGGAGGGCCAGCTGGAGCTCATCCCTGATACCCCTCATCCTGGCCCCAAGCACCCTGAGGCCAGCTGAGATACAGCCTGCAAGCTTCCCACCTGGAGCTCGGTGGGGGACTCCCACAGCCCCTTCCGGGACTGCTAAGCCCCACCCTCTCTGCTAACTTTGGAGGAGGGGCTGGAACCAGGTGAAAACTTGGTGGGGAAGAGAGTGGTGTTGACAAGAAGGGACAAGTAAGCCAGGCTAGCAACAGCGGAGGGCTCCTTCCAGAACCCAGGGAGACCTGTGGATGGGAAAGGGCTGCCTTCCCAGCATGGGGCACAGACCAGAGCCTGCCTGGGCTCAGCCCACCGCCCCATCTTCTCCCCAGGCCAAACTTCCCCAAATACCTGGCTGCCCAGCTCCTCATCCCAGGCCTCTGGCAGCCCAGCTCCTCCCGGAGGCAGGCCCAGTGCTTCTGGAGGGTCAGCCCCACCACAGTCAGCACGTCCTCGGCCGCGCCCGGCCCAACTTCCCCGCTTCCTCCCGCAGGATCCCAGAGTTCAGGAAAAGGAAGTGCCTCCCCCACTCGCACCGGGGCAACCGTCCAGGCTCTCCTGGCCCGGGCCTGGGACCTACAGGAAGTCCCTGACGGAGTGTCCGAAGGAGCACACTGGGGAAGGGGGCTCAGGTGGAGAGGGACAATAGCGAATTCCCAAGCCCGTCCCAGCGTGCCCGCACACAGGGACATGGGGAACCCTGAGAGGGGGCAGGAATGACTCAGGGCTCCCGAAAGGAAGAGTAGGCAGCGAGGGGGTGCGTGTGTACTTCTCCCGGCCGTGTGTACGAATGTGTCTGTGGTTGGCGTGTGGGGGGAGTGTCTGTGAATGAGTGTAGGTGTGCCACAGTCAATGAGCGCCTCTGCGGGCGGAGGGGGTCGGGGCTGGAGTTGGGAAGTGGCCGGGAGGCTGTGTGTGTGTGTGTGTGTGTGTGTGTGTGTGTGTGTGTGTGTGCGCGTGTGTGCGCGCGCGCGGTGTGCACGCGTGCGTGAGCGTGTGGGAAGGTGGGCACGTTCGGGCCGTGTGTCACGTGAGGCACTATGGGAATGTCCGAGGTGTGTGCGCGCGCTGGAGCGTGTGTGCGCCTAGGAGAGGGGGCTCGGCGGGGAGGGGTGAGTTCCACAGCGGGGTCCCCCATCTCCCGAGGCTGGGCTGCAGGAGTTGGGGGTGCCCAGGGCCCAGGCGCAGCACACCGCCCCGCATCTAAGTGCCAGGGCTACGCGTGTGACTGGGTCTGAGTAAGGAGTGTGTGCGCGTGTTTGTAGGGCTGGCCCCACCTTTAACCCTCTCCTTCCCATTGCACCCCTCCCCCCGACTCCGCTCGCCACGCTCACCACACCCCCCACCCCCTGCCCGCCGCCCCGGGCCCACCCCACTGGCGGGGCTCTGTACCCTGGGCCGCGCCACCGATGCTTCCTCCCTCCGCATTCTTCTCGCGGCCCAGCGGCCCCGGGTGAGCGCGACCGAAGAGGGACGAGGAGAGGGTGCCTTAGTCGGCCCCGGGCCCCTCCTGCGGCCCCTTTAAGAGCCGCCCTTTAAACCCCTTTAGCTCGGCCGACAGAAATTGTCGCCCCTCCCCTCTCGGGCGCTGAGACCACGCAGCCCCCTCCCCACAGCTGGCCGAGCCCGGCCCCCCCTCCCGTCGTATAACTTCGTATAGTGTATGCTATACGAAGTTATGCCGATTTATTTGTGTCTTCTTCAGTTTCTATCTTCAAAGTTTTATAACTTTCATTGTAGAGGTCTTCCACCTCCTTGGTTAAGTTTATTCCTAAGTATCTTATTTTTTTGGTATTTATTGTAAAAGGAATTTTGTTTTCTTGATTTCTTTTTCAGATAGCTCACTATGAGTATACAGAAATGCTACTGACTTTTGTATGTTGATTTTGCATACTACAACTTTACTGAATCAGTTCATTATTTCTAACAGTTTTTGGTGAAGTCTTTAGGGTTTTCTATATATAAGATCATTTCATCTGCAAACAGGGACAGTCTGACTTCCTCATTTCCAATTTGGATACCTTTTATTTCTTTCTCTTGTCTAATTGCTCTGGTTAGGACTTCCAGTACTATGTTGAAAAGACTTGGTGAAAGTGGGCATCCTTGTCTTTTTCCTGATCTAATGTTGTTAGTATGGTGTCGTGGTGGCGTGTGTTGGGGGCGTCTGCGGACAGTGCAGGGGCTCTGGTGGTGCTTTGGTTGTTTGGTTTGGGGCCGTATAATTTGGGAGGGAGTGGAGCTGTTTATTTGGATTTTTTTGGTCTTTGCTCTTTTGAGAAGGAAATTATTAGACCTACTCTTCATTGCTGTTGGGCGAGGGGGCATTGCTCTGGTAATCACACCGAACGTAGGGTGCATCGGACAGATTAGAATTAAATCTGCAAGTTCTTTGGAAGAGTGAACCAAGGAGGTCAAAGATTCATATAGGAAGGCGGACAACTTTCCTCCCCCACACGTACCCCTCCCCACCACACAGAAGCACCCATAGGCCAGAGAAATGACGAATCAACAGATTTCACCATTTCCACAAAGATGATTTGAGCACCTGCCAAACTGGACAAGAGACACAAAATTTTTGCCACTTTCCCACTGTGTGACCTTGGGCAACTTACTTCACCTCTGCATTAAGTTGGAGATCATTCCCACCAGGGCACTCTCATAGAGGAAGAATGGGAATCAGATGTAAAAAAAAAATGGTGACAGGCATGATCAGCCTAGCCGCCGGTAGGGAATGATCAGGGGAAACTGGAGGATTCTGGCTAAAAAAGCATCCTCAGGGACAGCAAAGCAAACCCTGGAAGCAGGGTATAGGGTGGGGAGGGGGCTTTCGGTAGGTTCAGCACATAGCTGTGAAGGCTGCTGGACACCTGAGACAACCTTTCTGGCTCCGGAGGGGTGGCGGTAGCGGTGAGCTTGAGAGGGGGGAATGAAAGAGAAGGTCTCTTGCTCTCTGCGAGCTTTGAGTAGCAGCGGCAGCTTCCATCCTCCCCCACTGTAGGTAGAAGATTGGACTGAGAGGTAAGCTTCTCCCAGGAGAGCCAGCAGGAGCTCTGGACTCTTTCTCTTCAAAGAAGGGGATTCTCACTGGCTTCCTTCCTCCTCTTCCTCCTGCTGGGTTCCCTTTCAATCTTTTCTGCTAGCGCCTGCTCCCTTTTATAGTCCAGAACAGGAAGGCAGGTCAGCCACTGGCGCTCCAAACACTTGCTTTCTCTGAGCCATGTGGGATGAGCCACCTGCCCTTCAGATATAAAGGCAAGCTGCTGGGACATCCATCACCCCACTCATCCCAAAGGCTAGGCAGGTGTCCCCTTCCTTAATGCTCCACAAGTTCTCTTCTGTAGCAGAAGACCAGGCAAAAGATTGGAGGCTAGGCAAGAAGGTGTGGGGTTGTCTCTGGGACCCTTGATGCATGTGGACTTGGCCACTGCCTGGACCTGTGAAACTGACTGGCAAGCCCTCCCCACTGGAAGAGGCAAGGGGTCCAGGTATCCTCTGAGCATGCACTTACCGGCATGAGTTGTCAGCCCTGATGCTGCTTGGATGCGCAGTGTATAGGCATAATTGAGTCACCTGGCAGGGTGGAGCCAAATGGCAACTGGTGGCAGAAGCCCAACAGAGATTAGGCCTGGCTTAAGTGCCCTAAAATGCCCCAGCCCCCCCCCCAAATCTGAGCTTTATTTCACTTCATTCTTTCTGTTTCTAGTTCTGTTGCTCATACCAGACAAACAGTTCTGAGAGCAGGGACTGTATCCCACCTGTATTAGTCTGTTTTTGTGTTGCTATAACAGAAATACCTGAGACTGGGTAATTGATAAGAACAGAGGTTTATTTGTTTTTGTTTTTGTTTTTTTGTCTTTTTTTTTTTCCATGTCCGGCAACGGATCGCAACCCTCAGTGTCGCCCCCGTACCGGACCGGGACCGGCAACAGGATTGCAACCCTCGGTGTTGCTCCCGCGCCTCGCTCAGCCAGTGAGCGGGAACTGGTCTGCATGTGGGATCCGAACCCTCGGCGGGAGCGCCACCGCGCTTCCGTGGCGGAAAGCGGCAGGCAGCCAGCAGGCACAAGCAGATCACATGGCGAGAGGAAGCGAGAGAGAGAGGGGAGGTGCCAGGGTCTTTTTAAACAACCAGCTCATGTGGGAACTAATAAAGTGAGAACTCAGGCCGGCCCGGTGGCGCACTGCTACAGTGCGCCGCTTGGGAGCACGGCGGCGCTCCTGCCGAGGGTTCGGATCCCACGTACAGACCGGTTCCCGCTTACTGGCTGAGCGAGGTGCGGGCGCAACGCCAAGGGTTGTGATCCCGTTGCCGGTCCCGGTCCGGTACGGGTGCGACACTGAGGGTTGCGATCCGTTGCCGGACACGAAAAAAGACAGAAAAAAATAAAATAAAAAAAATAAAGTGAGAACTCAATCACTACCCCCACCCCCAGGGAGAGCATTAATCCATTCATGTGGGATCCACCCCCATGACTCAATCAGCTCCAAACACTGCCACACCACCCATCTTTGTATTCCCAGGTGCCTTGATGGTCTGCTCACTATGCATTTATTCAGTGAAGATTTCTTTTTTTTTTTTTTTTTAAAAAGATGACCGGTAAGGGGATCTTAACCCTTGACTTGGTGTTGTCAGCACCACGCTCAGCCAGTGAGC